AGCAGTGTGGGGCCACTGCTGGGAAGTAAGGATCTCCTGGCAGCAGCCCACTAGTCTCAGAGCCACTACTGGGAGATTAGGGTCTCCCAGCCCCCTGCTTCCTGATTGTGATGGTGGAGTAGGGGCTGAGAGATAGGGATCTCCCAGCCCCTGCTCCCCAATCTGAGTCTCAGAGCAGGGGGCTTGGAGCTCCCTTCTGCTGGGGCAGGGGGACACAGTTCCTGCCCAGGCTGCTGTGGCAGAGGCTGCCCTGACAGCAGGCAGCTCCCATGGGCAGGGAGCAATCTCTCATCCTTTGGTGGATGGCTGACCAGGAGCAGATTTTGCTCCCAGTCCAGCATCTTCATGGGCACTACAGCACTGTTACTAATCTCGAGTAAATTTGCTGCTTGCATTTGCAGGTAGCAAATTTACTTGGGATTAGAGAGGTTTACTGTGTAGTAAGCATGCGCATGTGTAGATGCACATGCTTACTTCACAATAAACTATGGTAATGTGAAGTTAAGCATCTTGTGCAGATGTGCCCTGTGAGTGGCAACTGATTTAAACCAGATCAAACTTCACACTGTGCATAAATACAGTGGAGCTCACTGCTGTGATATACCATGGCCAACGTTTAGCAGGATTCAAAAAAGGTTTCATTTCTTATTTATGTGTTGCATATAAAATATCAATTAACATTTTTTAAAAGGTATCATTTATGTCAATAAAAATGATAACCTTGATTAATTAAGCTTAAAATTGTGAAATGGATAAAAAACTTATTCTCCAGAGCATAAGCCAAGCATTAGTTGCCAAAGATTAGGAAGAAACTTGAGGGTTATTTCATAATTGCCCATTATGCAGTTTCTTCTCTGTATAGCATCTAATATTGGGCACTGTTAAAGGCAAGAGGCTGGACTAGACAGGCAAACCTGACGATTCCTGTGTTCCTATAATTAGTCAGTCCTCCAACAGGAATTGTCTGTTCCTGGGAAGGGAGAATTGTTTAGATGTTGTGTTTTTTGACTTATTCTCTTCCCTTTCTTTTGAAAGGTGGTGGCAAAAGTTGGTCGTTTGGGAAGAGCAGTCTGTCTGCCAGATACAGGGTCTGAAGGCAGACTCTTTGTCCCCTATGTGCGCAAAATCATGCCCATTGACGCTGAAAAATGGTAAACAGATTTTAGGGTTTTTAATGTTGCCAATTTACTCTTGCCTTCCTTTGTGCCTCTCTTCTGCCACAAAATCCAGCCCATTAGTAGCCAACCCAATTTCAGGTACAGCATTGTGTTTCTCCAGCTCCTCTAACTACCTCTGAAGAAAGATCCACAATGGCCATAAACATTTCCTCACTAAAGATGTGCTCTCTCTCCTTCAATTCTACCATGTTCCTAGTCAAACCGTGGAGACAGCCAGAAAATTGATTTATTTCTCCAGGAAGACATTTTTTAACTTTTTGGCAAAAAATCAGAACTCCAAAAATGTCATCCTGGGAAATGTCACCACAGGGTCTTATGGAAATAGGTGTTTAGGTACTTCATGGCCTTGTTACCCTTTCTGGGCTAAAATGAACCTCCTACAGTGCCCTTCAGTCTCTTTTCCACTCTTAATGAAACCTGATGCCACAGCCTCTGCTGCTTACTCCCTGGTTGACAGAGTGAGCAAACCATTCTCTGGGTAAGGTAGAAGGGGTTATAATCTGGCCTGCGGAAAGGAGCTTTAGTGAGTCCCACAACACTGGGCTTGTTGAAGAAGTAATGACAAAGAGACTAAGAGATGGGTTCAAAAAATCACCAGGTCTCTGAAGGAGACGATCTTTCCTACAGGCTAAAAGGAGCAGGGTCCCAGACGCCTGAAAACTAATCTGTCCAGAAAAAAGAAGGTTTAGCTGGCTTAGCTTGAAGGGAAGTGCTTTGCAGACTGTTCAACTGTTGGATGACCAGGAAAGCTGTACTAGACTTTCACAAAGCTGGGGGAAACCTGGTAACCAGCTGCGTATTGTAGTTTACCATGTAAAATCTGCCTGAATCCTTGTGAATGAGACAACTCTGAAGAAGGAAGACCTATGAATTGCCTGGATGGTTGACTCCCTTAGACACCCCACTCCATGCTTTTTTCTCAGAATAGTAGAAATGAGACACCCTTTTTTTTTTAGGTGTCTGGACTTCCAAAGCTCCAATCATGAATAGCATTTATTGGTATCTACAGGGGCTCAGGAGATATTTCCACTGTACAGTGGTCACTGGATCCCTGAAGTAAAAGGGACTCCCAAGTGCCTGTCCAGAAGTTGGCCTAATGAATGTTGGAGGGGTAGGAGGGATATATTCTGGATGGAGGGCATTTTACAGCTAACTCTGTCTGAACTCCTCACATGTGCTGATTTATAATAAACCAGTGAAGTGTCCATTCCTGTCCATAGGGCTGCCCCAGAGGTGAGAAATGCTGGACTGTATTCCCGGGCATCAGATGTTTTCACCTTTGGTCTTGTGGTCTGGGAAGCATTAACAACATGTTTTACCAATTTGCATATGTACAAGCTGTTGAAGCCTTTCCACTTACTAAACAGCAAGGAGGTAAGTTCAGTAAATGGAAAACAGCATAAACTTCTCATGGATAAATGAATCCTAAGCTGCCTAATGATGATACAGAATAGCATTTGCTTGCATCTACTTGACCAGAGCTTGGCTAAGAGAAGAGGAGGCAGAGAAAATGAGCAGGTGAGGCAAGAAGAGTTTAGAAGATATGAGAAAGACAGGTCAAAATAAGATGCCTAAAGGTGACTCAAATAGATCAGATAATTAAGTATAAAAATCTAGGTTTACCTGGGAATCTTTGCTTGTCAGCCTTGAGCTATGGTTCTTGATGACTAGCCCACTGGCAGATAAACCAAGATAAGTATTTCTTTACAACTTAGTTTTTAAACGTAAGAAAAAAGTGTTTTTCCCTTAACAGGCTGGCCACCTAGTTGAGGCCTTTTAAGACCTTAGGATGTTAGGGAATTTAAGATTAATTTCTTTCAAATATTAATAAGATTGCCATTTCTTTAGATGAATGTGCATTTTATCAATTTAATATTATTAATTTAATATTATTTGCTCTATATGTTTGTCCATGTATATCTTATCTGTATTTCATTATTAAAGTTGCTATTAAAATTCACTTACATATATTTTCTTGAGTATTTAATTCTGGTGATGGTCTCTTTGAACATCCTTGGCTCCTAGAATGCTTTTGGGGTCAATATAATGTAAAGAGCCATGACATTGTGCAGATTGTAGTAGTTGTTTGCCAAAACCCATATACTTCAAGGTGTATAAGCAAATTTAAATTATTTTATTAAGACTGGTTACATTGTTACTTCTTGCCTGTAAAGCACCCTTGAAATTGGCAGGTCCTAGTAAGTTTCAGGGTTGCTAACAGCACAGCACTGACAGTGGTTGAGAAGGGCAGAAAGACTAACTGTGCACCCTACGTGATCACCAAATGTGTGCACTGTACAGTAGCATGATTGAGAGGGGTTGCAAAAATAGCTGCTGCGCTGCTAGTGAGTGATTGCACTGCTGCCTCCAGCTTTGAGAGTGACTATCATTTTTTCTGTAGCCCTAATTCTGAGTGTGGAAAGTATCACAGTTCACTCTTTGATATTTCAAATGTGGATTTTGTTTTCTGAATGTGGATCTTGTTTGTCTTTATCAGTATTACATTTTTTTCTATAATTCATTAAATTTTGAGGTGGAGAAATATTGTGCTATGCTGCTACCTGATTGATGGTAGTGCTGGGACTGTGATTGTCCCTCCGTAGATGGGAGTGTAAAAAGTACACTTTACCACAATCCCATCCTCATCCTCCCACTAAATATCTGTAGGAAGGTTTCTTTGAAATTCACTCCCCAACTTTTTTGTTTTCCTATTCCATTTTTTCCTGGGGGTTAATTAACATATTACAATTGTTCTTATATATGGTATGCTCTAGACGTCTTTTTACTATTTGCCATAGAGGAAAATATTCAGCTATGTTTGTCTGAATGCTAAAGTGTCTCTGTTTTCTTGCTTGCTTAACTGTAAAAACAGGTTTTGAAATTTACAGAGGAAATTCTGAAATTTACAGACGAAGAAAATATCAGTGATAAGGAATTGGAAAAGCTTACTCCATTAATTCTGTGTATGAAAGCCTGCTGGAATTCTAACCCAACCAGAAGACACCCCTTCTCCTCCATTTTAGAGCTGGTAATGAAAGTAAAAGATGCCTACAGGTAATTCACTCTGGTCCTACTTTTGTTATAGAGTCCCCATAATGAATACACCTTGCCTTGGTTTTTTCATGTTCATTTGTATAATTGGAATGGTAAATGTGAACCTCAACTACAGTGGGGATGTCTCCCACACCATCAGAAGCCTCCAAGGCTAAGTATACACTAGAACCTTTTGCTAGTAGAATGATGGCAGTCACAGTGATTTTTTTGCCACATTTTTATACCAGCAAAAGTCCTATTGCAGACACAGTTACCTTGGCCCAAAATACTTTTGCTGGTTTTCTGTTCAGGGCAGAAGTATACACTTTTGTCAGTATAGTAGGAGGGCTTTATAGTCTCAGTCTACAGGCAAATCTTTGAAGTGTAGACAAGGCCTAGGGGTATGTCTACATTGCATAATGCTTCTCAGCAGGATAAATTACTGAAATGGAGCTCCATACAACCACAGCTAGATTATTTGCAGTACCTGACCTACATTATGTGTCTCTGCACTCCATCCCAGTGTGCAGTGTAGACATACCATACACTTAGCGCTGAAGTGAGGACAATACATTTAGGGGCTATCTTCAAGAAACTTTTGATTGGGCCCTTACAGAATATATCCAACTTTGCATGAGCTCAGCACAGTCCTAGGTGCACATGACTAATTCCTACTATGTGTGTATTTTGGATAGAAACATCGGGGGGTTTCTGCACATAGTTTATTCCAAATTCCTGGGGAGGGACAGGGAAGCATGATCCCCTCATAGTGCACTGGGAGATATTAATATTGCATGATCAAAGCAACAGAATATGCCAAGGAAACCACTGAATCCTTTTGCCCTGCCTTTTACTTCATTGTCAGCTAGAGATGCACTATCTTGCCATCTGGTTTATTACGGAAGATGTAGATTGTTCTGTGCTAGAGCAGAAGTGTCAAACATATAGCCCATGTGCTGGATCTGGTCTGAGGAGTTGTACAATCTGGCCTGTGGGTGTCAGACCGATGTAGTGTGTGGAGCTGGTTTGGTGCATAGGTTGGAATTGGTCGGTGCTGCATGTGGCCTAGGGCAGTGGTTCCCAACCTTTTTTATACTGTGAACTGGCAGGAGCAGGACAGGGCACACAGAGCCGACTGCCTTCATCCTGGGGCTGCCCCACTGCCCAGCTTTAACCCCAGAAGGTAAGCTTTAACTCCAGAAGCTGCTCACCTGGGTAGACAGACGGGGGTCTGAGCAGGGGGCTTATGCCACTGCCTGGCAGCCAACCCTTTGTGGGGTCCATGGCCCAGTAGTTGGGAACCTCTAGCCTAAGGGGCCTGGCATGGGATGTGTGTTGCATCCTGCATTCTGCTGGACCTGCCCTAGAGTCCTGGCTCTAGTGCTGGTCTAGATCAGGCCATGCCAGAGCCAGTGCGCATGGGCCATCTGTCCTATGTGTCCCCCACAGCATGCACAAGCCCCATTTTGGGACTTGCACTGCAGGTGGTGCATGAGGCTGGCATGGGGTGCAAGCTGTATACTGTGCCTCACTGGACTTCCAGGCCCTGTGTGTTGGCTCTGGCATGGCCTGATCTGGACCCAGAACCAGCCTTAGGGAAAATGATGCCCTGGGCAAGCTTATATTTTGTCCTCCTCCCTCTGGCAAAGCCACTCTGGCACAAAGTATTTCAGAGGAAAAAACTGCAGTCTCATTGGAATCATCTGGATTCTGCCAATGATGTCTTGGGAAGAAGAATTAGTCCCAGCTCATGACCCTTTCAGTGGTCAGCATTAATTGCTTTAATCATGCTTCCATATGCAAATATTTACTTAATATCCAGAACACAGCCACACTAGTTCTACAGGCAGCACTATAGAAGTGGAGCAGTAACATGGTGTTTTTCCTGTCTCTGTCTCAAAAGGGTGTCCAATGACTTATACTACAACACCACGTCTGAGCCTTCGGTTGCAAATGAGGACACATATGACTCAGTTTACTTCAGGAGTGAAATACCAAAGGAGGATGTATACAGCTGTGTCTTCGACCCTGACCCTGCTGCTGGTCATGCCAATGACAACTCTTCAGTCTATGAAAATGTGGCTAGACCTGAACCCTTAGAAGGGAGCTCACTTTATTTCTCTAAGAAAGAGAAGTGGGGAGAAGTTGTTAGTGAATTTGAGACAGGAAAAGGAATAGAGAGGAGTCCAGTCTCTTTTTATAACCCCAAGCAAGCCAATATGTACACTGATACTGGCATTAATTGGAAAAAGAAATTGAAAAGTGGGAAAAGCAGGATGTTATAATTCTGTGCCAGGTGGGTGACTTGTGGTTGCAAAAATGATAGAGCTGGAAAGGCTGAACAGAACACCAGTCTTTCATAATGTTGCTTAATATACTAGTCCAGGGGTCAGCAACCACTGTCATGCATGCCAGAGCATGTCACATGAGGCCATTTTGCTCTGCACGCCACAGCTGGTCTGGGCTCAGGGCAGCTGCTGCCAGCCACCAAGCCTGGGCTGCTCACAGAAGGTGGCAGGGAGGCTGCAAGCCCTGCTGTGAAAAGCCTGGGCTCCATGGCAAGCAGCAGCTGTTCAGAGCCCAAGCCAGATATGGGAGGCAGCCATGAGCCTTTAAGGAGTTGCACTGGGGTCCTGAGTCCCACCCTGGCTTGTTGCCATGCGCACCTTGGGGGCCACTGTGGGGAAGGGGCCGGAGCTGCACTCCACTGCCAGGGGCTGTGCACCTGCAAAGCCTGGCATCCCTGCAGGGGGTAGGAAAGGAGCGGAGAGGTGGAGGGTCAGGGGGGAACATCCCTGTCTCCTGCCCACTGGACCCAGTTGCAAAGGGCAGGGCAAGCTGCATGAGTGCAGCAGCCTCATGTAGGAGGTTTCCTGCCAGGTGGCCCCAGACCCTGCTGCCCCTGTCTGTGTCTTCTCTCCCTGCACAGTTTGTCTGTGCTGAGGGTGGTCAAGGGACCTGCACATCAGACCTGAGCCACGGCCTTGGAGATGGAGTGGGGCAACCCTTGGCTTGGCTGCAGGGCTGGGGGAAGTTGTTTGTGGGTGGTGGCGGTGCCACAGGGGTTGATGCCACGGGCGGTCCTAGGTGATTCCTCCTCCTATGCCTGAGTGCCAGTGGGTTGGGATGAGCCATGCTGCCAGTCCCAGGCCCTGCCCCCACCCCACCCATGCTCCTGCTCCTACTGCGCTAAGCCATGAGCCTGGAGCTGGGATTCAGGAGCCAGGCCACTGCTGACGTGTAGCACAGACCTCAGCCTTGGCTCTTGACCCTGTTGTGGCCTGGGGGGCCCCAGCAGGGTCTATGCTGCCCCTGTGCACGTGGCCAAAATCTGGTCAGCAGCAGGGAAGGGGGCAGGCTCCCTAGTCGCCATGCCCTGGCCCCTTGCCCACCATGCTCCCTGGGGTATGCCTGCAACCACTGCCAGCAATGAGTGGGGCTGGGGCTCTGGACTCCCCATGCAGCCACTTGCAGGCTCATGGTGGCCTGCTGTGATCAGTCCGGGCTCCCAGACAGGTGGCAGGGGACTGCCCAGAGCCTGGGCTGATCGCAGCAGGCAGCTGTAAGTCTGCGAGTGCCTGCACCAGGGTCTGTTGCTGGCAGTGGCTGCCTGAGTGCTTCTTGGAGCATGGTGGGGAAGAGGCCAGGGCTGTGCTGCTGTGACAAGGACTGGACCTCTTGCAACTCCCCTGCCTACCACGCCTGGCATGCCAACATCTTTGAAGTCTAGGTTGCAGGGGGTTTTGGCACTCAGCCCAAAAAAGTTGCAGACATCTGTACTAGTCTTTAGTCCTATAAATATTCACTAAGTTTGCTGGGCAGTAGGGGGCATGTACCTCCCATTACATATTATATGTCAGCTGGATGAAGCAGCAGGGGTCTGTAGCCTCTCCCAAAATCATTTAATACAGCCCAGCCTCATAAAAATCAGTTAAATGTCCAAGGCCTCCTATTTCTTTCATTTGACCTAGACCTTGAGCTCTTGGAAGGGCAAATATACCATACAACGGAAACACTATCAGTCCAGCTGGACTTGTAAGACTCCTGCTGCAGCTCTTTCAAAGGCTTTCTTTACACCTGTGTTGCTTTACAATGTGTAAGAGGCCTGGGAGGCACCTGTTCTGACCAGCAATTTAGAAATATCCAACACACCAATAGTAATAACTGGGCAATTATTTGTAAACATGAAATGAGATTAAATGGAAGTAATGAAAATCTGTGAATTGTAAACTGGCATTTCTTATTGCATCGTATGTCCCATGTTTGGACTTTGGCAATTCGAGAAGCCAGTTTGAAGATGATCAGGGCTCTGCGATTGCTGTGCATTTGAACACATAACAGCAAAATGTACCTCTGGTATACAATTATTCAGACACAGATAAACACCAGGATTTATTTTTAAGTCTTAAGCTTATAAAATATAGGAAATTGGCACCATTTCAAATTTCTCATTAGAACAAGACACTTCTCAGTTTCTTTTTTGCTTCCCTGTGGTTTTTGTCAGCCTCCTCAACCTGCCTAGAAATTGAGGATGCTCAGCAGCTACTGTTGCCGGGAAGGACATGCAGAAGCACACTGGTGCCTGGCGAGCTGGTGGAATATGGCAGAAGCTTCTGGGGCTTGGAGAACCCCCATGAGGATAGCCAGTAACTGCAGGGGAGAAATTCACACTTGATAGAAGCAGACAGTACTGGCAGCCTGAATGCAAGAGCTGCTGTTCTAAAACCCAGAAGTAAAAACAGAGAATAGGCCTTAACTGCAGTCATCTAGACACTCAACCAGAGGACAAACAAAAAAATGGCTTTTCTTGTATTGGGTAGATGCCGTAAACTAAAAATCAAGGAAATCGCACTGATGATATTGAGTCTCATACTAGGTCAGTGAGACTGTAGGTGTAAGTGGCAAAGCAGTGTGACTAACACTGACTCTTTGCATTCAGAGCCACATTTCTTGAGCTGCATCTGCTGCTAGAAAGAAGGAAGGATGAAAAGGTGACTCTAAGACAGCTCTCTCACCAGCCTAATGTGGGATAGGGACCAGTGAAGGACATGAACAAACACACTAAACTCCATCCGCAGAGAGTAGGATGGGCAGGGGGTGGGAGGGGAAGGACCTGTTGCTCCTACTTGTTATCTGCAATGGCAGATCTGCTTCAAAGCCTTGGAAATACTATCTCCCTCATGTCCTGGAGATGGCAGGGGAGTTCTGCTGTCCTCTATATGGTGATCCCAAGGTGCTGATCACTAGACTGACCCTCTCCTTTTGAGGCCCATTTAGCAAGTTTTTATACTTCTCATAATCATTAAGGGGATGTAGGCTACCATGCCTGGGAGGAGAGAGACTCCTGCCAATGTGGTTACCTCCCTCCAGCTGACTGACATCCCAGGGCCCCTTCAGACCAACGGGGATCTAATCCTATGTGAATAGTGATGCCTGAAAATTGGGAAGCTTTGGTGTTCCCTTACAGCTGGTTGAAAGACTGGCAGGGGGAACTTTAGGAGAGCTTTGTTAAAGAATTTCCTTTGTGGGCCTGGGGGGACAATTGACATTTGAAATGTCTATGAACAATTTCATAAAAAAACTCAGCCCTGCCCTGGATGCTAGTGCCTTGCTTGCTAGAGCTTTATCTCCTTTACAAGGGACTCTGCTTACCTGTGTGGAGGGAACCGTTAACAAAACCTTTACCCTGCTCCAGTGTCAATAAGATGAAAGGTGTGTTGGAATCAGCACAGTTCAACGACAGTTTTAGTAGCTTAGGTAACACTCCTGTCTGGAAGAAATGGAAAGGCTACATGGCAGGATGCCAATACAAACAAAACATCTGCCCAGTTTGATGTCTCAGTGAACTTGGCAAGACAGACATTTGATTTGCCAGTCTGAATGATTTGGTGAAATTTATCCAAACAACTAAGATGACCCAGAAGCCAACTTGAATGACCCATCGGAGGGGTAGCAAAGCATCCTTTACTCATCAAACATTAACAAAACCAGCAAGCAGTGAACTGGCATGGCCTTATTTGCTTTCCTAACAGAAGAATGGGGTGGTTACTGCCAGGTTCCCCACAAAGAGTGCATTTGGGATTCTGCAGAAGAAAGAGAATCTGAAATGCAACATGATTTATTTATTAGTAGAACTCAACCACTGCCTGAAGTCCTCAAGTCCTCAGTCTAGCTCTTGCCTAGGTACTACACAGACACAAAGGAAGAGACAGTGGGTGCATCTACATGTGCAATTACAGCACCTGAATAAACTGCAGAGCTTATTGCTCTAGAGTTAATTGCTCCCGGGTGCGCTGCTTGAATGTGCTCCTGGGAGCAATTAATTCCGGAGCAGTAAACACCACAGTTTATTCAGGTGCAGCCCATGGAGATTGAGCAGAGCAGCCCTGGATGGCAGGGGGCCCAGGGTGGGGTTGGTCAGCCTGCCAGTCTGGGACTGCTTCCCCTAGCTCAGTGTGCTGCAGAGAGGCTGGTTGGGCCATAAGGGAGCTTCAGTTCAGCTCTAGCCAGCAAATAGCCCCCTCACTGAAGCACCCTTGTGTCCCAGCCAGCCCTATCTGTGTCTACACACGCTTCTGTGGAGTTTTTTCAGAGCTGGTTAAAGGAAAGAATGTGACACAATCTAATTTCTTTACATTTACTGGCAATAGGAAGGAACGCACTAGAAATATAGATGAGAAAGATAGACATTTTTTCTCTCCAAGATGACTTATAACACTGAGCAGTACGGCTGTGTGAAACACTTCCATTTTGTTTTGACTTCTGTTTTGCCATTTTGAAGGGACAGTGTTTCGTTTCATCATTTCATTTCATTTCGAAACACTCCCATTTCATTTCGTCGACACTGTTTTGCTGTTTCGATGTTTTACCCATAGGCTATAATGGGAAATGATTCAGATGAAAATTGCAGGGATGGTAGACCCTACTGAGGGCATGAAGCCTGCCAAGCTTCATGGAGATAGGTGCAGGGGCTTCTGGGAAACTGCACCTCAAGGGCGCAGATCTGGGGGCACGCACCCCTGGGAGGGCTGTGGGGTTGTGCCATACTCCTCCTGGGGGTGCGGGCCCTCAGATCTGTGCTTGGGATGACAGGAGCCTGCCGCTGCCAGCAACTGACATGAGTTTTGCTTTTCCCCCACCTGGGACTAGCGCTGGGTGCAGCCCGTGCCCAGCACTGGGAAGACTGGTGCTACTCCTGTCATCCCACACACAGACCTGGGGGCCTGCACCCTTGGGAGGAGTCCGACAGTGCTGGGAAGGCAGGTTGAGCTCTGTGGGCCTGGCAGAGCCACTTGGAGCACAGCCCTGGCTTTCCCCAGCTCCCACCACTGGGCTGCAGTCCAAGCGGCTCTGCCAGCCCCATGGAGCTCAGCCCGGTGGCAGGAAAGCCAATGGTGGAGCTGCTCAGAGTGCAGCCCTGGCCAGTGGCTCTCCCCTGCCTCCCGCCACCAGGCTTAGCTCTCCTGGGCTGGCAGAGCTGCTCACTGTGCAGCTCAGTGGCATGAGGCAGGGGAGAGCCAGGGCTACATCCTGCCTCC